AAAAAAAAAAAAAAAAAAGAGAGAGAGAGGCCAAAAAGACAGGCTGTCTAACTGGTCATGCTTTTTAAATGGCACTGGGGTTGACATTTTCTTCCCTTTTCCAATCCTGCATCTTTGGCTAGTCGTTTTTCCTTCTGTAATGTTCCTTCATTGCAAACACTTGACTGTAACCTCACACAGCAAGCAACCTGGCTCCATGGGTATACACCCTGAACAGGTATGTAGATGCCATTTTAGAGAAAAATGGAGTATTAACAATCTGAGTTCTTGGTTCAACACCCACCTACTTATTTATTCAGCAACTACCATGAAGCTCATACTGTGGTAGACACTGGGTTTCTAAGGTAAATAAAACAGAGTTCTTGCCCTCAACGATCCAGCAGAGACTTGCAGAGACAGATATGTGGACAATTATGATATGATATCACATCAGAGTTCATTACCCAGGGATGAACTGCACACCTGTGAATGTTTATTCATCAAGTTCCAGAAAACCACTCTTTTTTTTTTTTTTGAGACAGAGTTTCACTCTTTTTACCCAGGCTGGAGTGCAATGGCACGATCTCGGCTCACCGCAAACTCCGCCTCCTAGGTTCAGGCAACTCTTCTGCCTCAGCCTCCTGAGTAGCTGGGATTACAGGCACGCGCCACCATGCCCAGCTAATTTTTTGTATTTTCAGTAGAGACGGGGTTTCACCATGTTGACCAGGATGGTCTCGATCTCTTGATCTCATGATCCACCCGCCTCGGCCTCCCAAAGTGCTGGGATTACAGGCTTGAGCCACCGCGCCCGGCCCAGAAAACCACTCTTAATCTGTCTCTATGCATCATATAGAATCTCTTTTTTTTTCCTTCCCATTTTCTGAGTTTAGTAAGAGGGACCCAATAAGACTCTTAGAGGTTTATGAACTACCAAGGTACATCAGTACAAACTGGTTTTACACTTAAGATTTTTCTTTTAAATCCACAACAAACCTAGAACATGTGCAATTTTGAAATTTTCTATAGTGAAGATTAAGGTGTCTGCTACTTTGCAAGTACACTAAAATACAAACTGTAAATGGGCAGCCATTATGCACTGCCTAATAGTGTAGATGATAGGGAGGGGTATTGGGTGGGCAACGTTGCAACGTTCCCCCAAGAATTTAGATATTTTTTTTTTTTTTGAGACGGAGTTTCATTCTTGTTACCCAGGCTGGAGTGCAATGGTGCGATCTCGGCTCACCGCAACCTCCGCCTCCTGGGTTCAGGCAATTCTCCTGCCTCAGCCTCCTGAGTAGCTGGGATTACAGGCACACACCACCATGCCCAGCTAATTTTTTGTATTTTTAGTAGAGACGGAGTTTCACCATGTTGACCAGGATGGTCTGGATCTCTTGACCTCGTGATCCACCCGCCTCGACCTCCCAAAGTGCTGGGATTATAGGCTTGAGCCACCGTGCCCGGCCCTGTTTTGTGTATCTTATACATTTTATTTTTTTTGAAGACAGGGTCTCGCTCTGTGACCCAGGCTGGAGTGCAGTGGCATGACCTAGGTTCATTGCAGCTTCGACCCCCTGGGCTCAAGCGATCCTCCCATGTCAGCCTCCTGAGTAGCTGGGACTACAGGTCCATGCCTCTACACTCAGCTAATTTTGTTCATGTTTTGTAGAGATGAGGTCTCACTACGTTGCCCAGGTTGATCTTGAACTCCTGGGCTCAAGTCATCTGCTTGTCTTGGCCTCCCAAAGTGCTGGGATTACAGGCATGAGCTACTGCACTTGGCCTGTATGTCTTTTATGTTTTCTTTATCTTTTATTATATGTTTTAATATCCTTTAGGTGTTTTTCTAATTTATAACATTTGTTTGCTTAATAGAGTTTATTTTCTCTGTAGTAGTCTGGGAATTGTAATTACTTTTTTTATTCTACTATGTAAATTTACCACTGTTTAAACCTATATTGTCAAAGTTAAGAACTAAAGGAGATTTCCGGGCATGGTGGCTCATGCTTATAATCCCAGCACTTTGGGAGGCCAAGGTGGGCAGATCACCTGAGGTCAGGGGATCGAGACCAGACTGACCAACATGGCAAAACACTGTCTCTACTAAAAATACAAAAATTAGCTGGGCGTGGTGGTGGGCACCTGTAATCTCAGCTATTGGGAGGCTGGGGTAGAGTCATTTGAACCTGGGAGGCAGAGGTTGCAGTGAGCCGAGATCACACCATTGTACTCTAGCCTGGTGCTGGAGAACTAAAGGAGAAGAAAGCTTATACTCTAAGGGAACCAGGGAAGATTAAAGGAGAAACCTTTAACATCCATTAAGTGCCCCAGTCCCTACTGTCCCCAGGTTGATATTACTGTTTATTATTGCTGATGCTGTCTACTCCAGAGTTTGACTCCTTGTACTTCCATTCTTCATAAGAGATAAATAAGAAGTCATATAATCACATACCTTGACAGGGCTATCATTGTACAGCCAGGAAAGGAAATCTGTGGAGTTCCAGTAAGTATCAGGAGCTTCCCACTCCCCATCAGACCAGATCAGATCAGGCTTATAGCTGGAAGACATGTGATCAGGACAGAGTTTATTATCTGAATGTGTTCACAGTGAAGTCTTATGGACCAATTTTTTTTTAGAGATGGGTTCTTGTCACGTTACCCAGGCTTGAATGCAGTGGTTATCAGTAAACAGGTGCGATCACAGTGCACTAGAGACTCCAGTTCCTGGGCTCAAGTGATCCTCCTGCCTCAGCCTCCTGAATAGTTGAGACTACAGGTGCACGCCACTGCATCTGACAGGTGGACTGATTTTGGCAACAAATATTTCAAAATTAATTTTCTCCCATTTTGAAATTATGTGCCATAAAAATTATCACAGTGTAGAGGATGTGGAAAGCTGAAGAGATGACAACAAATCAGTTTGCTAATAAAACCACTGTTTAAAACAAACACATCCTAAAGTACGGAGATCAAAGAAAAAATAAAACAAACGCAGCATTTTGGTATATTTCCTCCTGATCTTTTCCTTTCTTCCTTTTTTTTTTGAGACAGTGTCTTGCTTTGTCCCCCAGACTGGAGTGCAGTGCTGTGATCTCAGCTCACTGCAACCTTTGCCTGCTGGTTCAAGAGATTCTCATGCTTCAGCCACCCAAGTAGCTGGGATAACAGGTGTGCACTACCACACCTGGGTAAATTTTGTATTTTCAGTAGAGACTGTGTTTTGCCATCTTGGCCAGGCTTGTCTTGAACTCCTGGCCTCAAGTGATCCACCTGCCTTGGCTTCTCAAAGTGCTGGGATTTCAGGTATGAGCCACTGTGCCTGCCTAATCTTTTTCTTTATGCCTTTTTAGAAAATGGAGGTGTAATCAGCATACAAGCAATTTGGCTTCCTTTCAGTAACTAACTCCAATTAAGAATGGTGTTTCAAGGAAGCAAAGAAAACAAAATGGTGCTTCAGGACTGTAAGACTAAAGATTTGCTTTGAAGATGTTTCAAGAGTTTGAACTATTCCCAAAATGCCTTTTTGTGGATAATGACCAAAGTCTCTACTGTAGGGGATCCACTGGAGCCCCATTTGCACCTTTAGTGTATTATTACTCTGAGCTTTATAAGGCATGTGTGTTGTGTGCATGTATATGAATACATATGTATATATCTATATGGTAAGCATTATTATTCTCATTTGAGCAGCAAGAATTTGATGCTCAGCTGGGCAATTTGTTTTAGGTGACAAGGCTTGTAAGTAACAGGAACTGGAACTCAAATACAAATCTGTCTGATGCCAAACTGTCCACTGTACACCATAATTAGGCAAGTAAACTCTAGGAAGATCACTCAGTGGCAAGATATCACACAGATGGTCTGTGATTTACCGTATATAAGAAACTGTACTAGGCAATTTAAACTCATTACCTCTAGGCTGGGCACGGTGGCTCAAGCCTGTAATCCCAGCACTGTGGGAGGCCGAGGCGGGTGGATCACGAGGTCAAGAGATCCAGACCATCCTGGTGAACATAGTGAAACCCCGTCTCTACTAAAAATACAAAAAATTAGCTGGGCATGGTGGCACGTGCCTGTAATCCCAGCTACTCAGGAGGCTGGGGCAGGAGAATTGCCTGAACCCGGGGGGTGGAGGTTGCGGTGAGCCGAGATCGCGCCATTGCACTCCAGCCTGGGTAACAAAAGTGAAACTCCCGTCTCAAAAACAAAACAAAACAAAACAAAACTCATTACCTCTTTAGTTCTCATGACTCTGAGATATATTATCCCCACTTCAGAGACAGAAAAATCAAGATCTTGAAAGATTAAGTAGTTGGTTCAAGGCAACACAGCCAAGTAAGAAAAAAGAATGGGGATTTCAGATTCAGTAATGTCTAAATCTGTGTATGCCTCTGATGGTCTCTTACAACTGTTACTATTTTCTTTCTTTCTTTCTTTTTTTTTTTTTGAGATGGAGTCTTGCTCTGTTGTCCAGCCTGGAATGCAGTGGCACAATCTTGGCTCACCACAGCCTCCCTCTCCCGCGTTCAAGCAATTCTCCTGCCTCAGCCTCCAGAGTAGCTGGGATTACAGGCACATATCACCACGCCCAGCTAATTTTTGTATTTTTGGCAGAGACAGGGTTTCACCATGTTGGCCAGGCTGGTCTTGAACTCCTGACCTCATAATCCACCCACCTCAGCCTCCCAAAGTGCTGGGATTACAGGCGTAAGCCACCACATACAGTCAACTGTTACTATTTTCTTAAGAGAAGTCATCTGGATACAAGTTAATTTTTTTCTTTTCTTTCTTTTTCTTTTCTTTTTTTTTTTTGAGATGGAGTTTTGCTCATTACCCAAGCTGGAGTGCAATGGCTCGATCGCGGCTCACCACAACCTCCGCCTCCTGGGTTCAAGCAATTCTCCTGCCTCAGCCTCTCAAGTAGCTGGGACTACAGGCGTGCACCACCATACCCAGCTAAGTTTTGTATTTTTAGTAGAGATGGGGTTTCACCATGTTGACCAGGATGGTCTCGATCTCTTGACCTTGTGATCCGCCCGCCTCAGCCTCCCAAAGTGCTGGGATTATAGGCATGAGCTACCACGACCGGTCTTCTTTTTCTTTTCTTTTTCTTTTTTCTTTTTTTTTTGGAGACAGAGTTTTGCTCTGTAACCCAGGCTACAGTGCAGTAGCACGGTCTTGGCTCACTGCAACTGCTCCCTGGGTTCAAGCGATTCTCCTGCCTCAGCCTCCCAAGTAGCTGGGACTACAGGCATGCACCACCATGCCTGGCTAATTTTTGCATTTTTGGTGGAGATGAGGTTTCACCATGTTGGCCACGCTGGTCTCGAACTCCTGACCTCAAGTGATCCACCTGCCTTAGCCTCCCAAAATGCTGGGATTATAGGCATGAGCCACTGTGCCTGGCTAAAGGTGATTTTCCTTTGCTCTAAAGTGAGAATCCAGACAGCTGCCTTTGAATTTTTAAGGGTCTACTGTCCTCTGTGAGTCCCCAGGCTCAAGAAAAGCAAACTAGGAATAAAACATGGTGAAGACTAGTGACAAATCCCTAAGTGAAAGTGATCATTTAACAAATAATGGCTCTTTCCCTAAGCGGCCTGAGGTGAGTGGTTCTCCTGTGTTGCTCCAAGGGCTCAATCCTCCTGCCATCACTGCCATCCTGGCCTCGGGGGCGGCGGCCTCCAGGACCCGGTAATCTGTGAAAATGGTTCGCTATTCACTTGATCCGGAGAACCCCACAAAGTCATGCAAATCAAGAGGTTCCAATCTTTGTGTTCACTTTAAGAACACACGTGAAACTGCCCAGGCCATCAAGGGTATGCATATACGAAAAGCCACGAAGTATCTGAAAGATGTCACTTTACAGAAACAGTGCGTACCATTCCGACGTTACAATGGTGGAGTTGGCAGGTGTGCCCAGGCCAAGCAGTGGGGCTGGACACAAGGCCGGTGGCCCAAAAAGAGTGCTGAATTTTTGCTGCACATGCTTAAAAATGCGGAGAGTAATGCTGAACTTAAGGGTTTAGATGTAGATTCTCTGGTCATTGAGCACATCCAAGTGAACAAAGCACCCAAGATGCGCCGCCGGACCTACAGAGCTCACGGTCGAATTAACCCGTACATGAGTTCTCCCTGCCACATTGAGATGATCCTTACTGAAAAGGAATAGATTGTTCCTAAACCAGAAGAGGAGGTTGCCCAGAAGCAGAAGATATCCCAGAAGAAACTGAAGAAACAAAAACTTATGGCACGGGAGTAAATTCAGCCTTAAAATAAATGCAA